CGTCAAGAATTGACTCGTCCTTGAACTGCACAGCTACATCCAGACAGAACTATCATTGAATTTGTTAGTATACTAAAACTAAAATCACAGGTGTGGTAGGAGTCAAAACTCTGTGATATGAAAGTGACAGTTGGCATTGCACCCAAAGGGCTGTAAAAATCCACAACTCTCTTTACTTACTGCAAATATTTGCGAAATTCCTTAAGGTTGTCTTGCCAATTTTTTCTCAAATTAAAGGTAATTAATGCAATTGGTGCAAATCATTTTCACTTAATTGAACTTTCATCTGTAGTTACTGAGGAGTACAGGGTATGTCAAATACATTAGGAGTATACCGTACATGTACATGTGGCATTTATCCTCAAAAATCCCAATAATTGGTGCTGTACTTTTAAAAAACAAGAATAATTATTTATGCAAATTGATCAATTTTACGCATTGCATATATTGATTAATTAATTAGAAAATGGCTTTATTTAAGATAACACAAACAGTAATGTTTACCAGCATACGTGCAACCACCACATCAGAAATTTAGTCGAAGTCTACCGCTGCCAGGAGTCAGAACATCTCGTTTTATTGACATTTATATCAATTAAATATGCAAATCAGGTACACATTTGTATTTTAAATGTGGAAATTTGTAGTAGTGATGTGCAAATTTGTAAGAGTGCCAAGTTTGACAGAAATAAAATGTGTCCTTCCAATGTAACAGAAGAAAAACCTTGTTTAAGTGAGCTTTTCCTGGTGCCATTCACTTTATAAAAAAAAACAAAGGATGATCTTTGACCTGGGAGTCAAAATTTGACAGTTTTTTGCGATATTCAAATGGATGTATCTTGAGAACCGCTTGGCCGTTTTGAACTATTTTTTCACTGTTAAACTCCTGAAGATATGCTCTTTCATATCTGCTATAAATTGACTGTGTAATGAAATAATTTGGAAATCATGTGAAATGCCTATTCCTGATTTTATTTTTCCTGATTTTTGAAGTGGCGATATGCATCACTGTTGTCCATGGCAACTTATTTGCTGGTCTGGACCCCAAGGCCCATCCTGCAGTAGAAATATGGAGCAGATACTGGCAGAGTTGTAACCAAGTCATTTTTTTCCAAGTCAAGTCTCGAGTCAATTTTTTTCAAGACAAGTCTCAAGTCAATTTTTTTTCAAGTCAAGTCTCAAGTAAAATATTGAAAACAATGTACATGTACCGGGGGTACATCAAAAGGAAAGTGACAGACATTGCTATAATTTCTTCATTTTATTACATACATGTATTTATTGGCTTGCCTACATGTATGCCATGAATTGAGGTCACATGGCACCCTAAATGGCACAAATAAAGAATGTTTCGGCACACATCTTCAGAAGATGGTTAATGACTATGACAAGCTTGAAACTGATCAGATTAAAACATGTAATTGCTAAAGTGGCTTGTAAAATGAAAATAAGTAAACAGTCCATGGAAAAAGTTAAATATTTATGATGCCATAACATAAACCATAACATGCCATAACATAGTAATTGGATATAATTTCTATGAACCTTTTTACCAATGTAAAACCCTATCATCTTTATAAATCATGTGATATCTTTTAAAACCAGGAGTGGGGCCATGCAAGGCCAACTGTCAATTTTAGTCTATAACAGACTAGTTCCATATGTACCCACCAAATTTGTGATCAATCTGGAAATGAATGTTTTAATGGACGTCACATGACCTCTGATGACATCACACTTACAAAAGTATCAGCACATATTTTCAGATAAGGCCAAGTTTGAAATTAATCAGATTGCTAAAGTAACTTCTAGAATGAGGTCTATGGGAAAAAAATGGGGAAAAAAAATTAAACAGAAACTATAAATTTTGAAGAGCTAATTACACTGTACACTTAAAAAACACCAGGTTGGACAACAGCTTTTCACTCAATCGGGCATGATGAGGACGCATGACGATACCCCCATGGCTGAGGACTCGCTCAATGGGAGCACTGGATGCGGGAACAGCGAGTGCTCTCATGGTGACTGGAAAAATCTTGTCCAGTGTGTTTCTTTTGATGTTCCAGAAGTGAAGACATCCCTGTGAGTCACTACAGCTGGAATCCTGTGCAAGTTCCAAGTACTTGGCAAGCTGGGCTGCTGCAGATGTTTTGCTGTTGTGGTAGCTGCGGGTGTAGCCAGCAAACAGACGAGAAGTTTTCTCAGGCCCATCCTCCTCCTCACTACTAGTATCATCAGAATTTTGCAAAGTGTGTGCTTCCGATATAACTCTGAAAATACATGTATATAACAAAAAAGTCACCTTGGTGAATTAAGCAACAAATAAAAAACATGCTTTATGGGATCAACTTTTCTTTGTGGCAACATGTATTCGGAATTGGCCTCCAGACCGTACTGACGCACCATTTAGCATATATCATGTTTTATCCGTACCTTTAATAAACTTCACGACCTCTTCTTTGATGTTGGCTGGTGTGGTGACATCATGGATCAACCACATAGTGGAGAATGCTAGATTCAGCACAGCAGCCATCAGGTAGAGTGGGTCACCAAAAGGAAGGGTGTTGGGATCCTCCAGTAAAGCTTGCAGCCTAACGGCAACAAAAATGCCCTGAAATTGGGTCTTAAGTGAGTCAAGCAATGCCCTGATGAGACTGCTGAGGTACCTCCCTTGACAGTTCTGCTGCATGCTATGGAGGTAGTGATGCAATGATTGGATACATGGAACCACACAGCTGACAGTGACGGTCTTTTCACAACCTGGCAACCTGGAGGCCAGAGAGAAATAGGTACATGAGGAAGTCTTCGACAGAACTCACAGGAGCTGCTATCGGAGAAGCATTGTGGTCGTCACACCATGCAGTAAAAAGTTGTAGTTGACTGTTGTAAATCTTGTAAGTGGATGGTCGTCAACCTTGGGCCACCAGACTCGGACCGGCCAGCCGACCCCAGCAAGCTCGGTGGTCGAGTGGTTAAGACGTCTGCACTAGTAAGCAGGAGGTCGTGGGTTCGAGTCCCACCCGAGTAA